CGTTTGGAGGGCGTCTGCTGCTGACGCTGACACTGGCGCTGGCTTGAGCGTCGTGGCGGCTTTGCCTTGTGCCCCGCTTAGACAGGGCTGGGGATTGGATCATCCCTGAAAAAAAAAAATGGCGGCTGTGGGTACCCCCGTCGCTGCTGGCTCGGGCCGTGACTCGCGATCCTTCTCCATGCGGTCCACCGCGCCATGCCGGGTCAGCGGCGTCTCCTTGACCATAGAAAAGGTCATCCCCCGAACCGGCCCCAATGGTACGCGCCCATGCCAGCGCCTCTTCTCCTCTCCAAGCCGTTGACCTTGCCCCACTGCACTTGCAAGCTGTCGAGCCCGGTCCCCCTTGACACCTTTGCTCCCGTAGGCGAATACATGGTCTACGTCATCAAGGTCGAGGCAGACCCCGACAACGCCGCTGGCCTCGCCCCAAACTCCCACTCGGTTGAGCGCCGGTAAGCACCCCCATGCAAGATTGCACAGCTCATTTACCGAGGCAGTCGCCCAGCCACATCACCAACACCACCACCACCACCACCAACGCCGCTGCCCTCGCTCATGCGCTCCCGTCACCACATCATCTCTCGCTGGCAGCTACAACGAGTTTTTGCTGCTCCACAAATACCTTGCGTCCCACTACCCCCATGTTCCCTTGCCCCCGCTCCCAGAAAAACGCCTCAACTTCAAGGTGGGCTATGTCGCCAAACCTCCAAACCTGCTGCCCTGCCTGTTGTTTATTTTTTTTTTTTTTTCTCACCCCACTGGATTCTGTGGTACCCGCGAGACAGCTGACCACTCTCAGTAATGACATTGGAGAGGAGTCCTTTGTCAACAAGCGACGCATTGCTCTTTGCGATTTCCTCATGCGCACCCTCGAACATCCCATCCTCAGCGCTGACCAAGGTAAAAACACGCCTCAAGCGCCATCCGGTCGCGCGCTTAAAAGTCATTGCTAGTCCCGCTCGCTCACCGTGGCTGCCATCTCGCAGGCTTTCATCGATTCGTCACGGTCATGCTTGATTGGAGCCAAGACCTCACCGATGCCGAAGGCAACCCTCTTCAAGCCTCCAGCCTCAACCCAGCCAAATCATTGAGTGCCGTCTTTGCCGGCGATACAGGCCACCGGTACGGGACTAGCATACAGTGTCACCCCTAGGCCTTTGCCAGCCACCACCAACCACCACGACCTCCTTCCTGCTCCCCTGACGGACGCTTGCGCCTCTCCCCACAAACAGACAATTCCGCGACTTGCACAATTATGCCGATGTCTTACAAGAGCATCTCGTAGGCCTTTTGGCCGTACACGGCCGGTGTGTTGTCTATTCGCCAACCGATCACTTGCCCACCTACTGTGTGCTCACCCACCACTGGTTTCTGCCCATATAGCCTAGCCCAAAACACTCAGCGGCTCACTGTCGCCTTTGAAGAATTGGGCATGGCCTTTGAGTAAGTGCACGCGTACCCAACCCGCTCGCTTGCTGCCCAAACGTGTGTGTTTTTAAAATTCTTTGCCGTCCTGCTCGGGTTGTAGCGACTGGTCACGCATTGAAGTTACCCTGGCCGAAGACTTGGCCGAGATCTGTCGTCTCTTTGACCGGTACATCCTTTCGCTCTGTGATGCGCGGAGCACTCCCGACGCTCTTTAAACCCTGAACATGAACTGCCCCCCACCCCCATCCTTGCGCCATGATCCCATGTTCACCTGCACCGACACTTTTTTTTTTTTTAAGGCAAGCCGAACGCCTCATTAACGGCCTTCGTGATGAAGAGCGCTTTGCCGACTGCGTCAAGGTCGGTTCACCAACCCTCTCATCATCACCAGTGACCACCAGTGTCTCAAACTGCGTGCGGTGCTCGTCGACAGGTGTTTAGCGGCTATGGTGACTCGCTGCGCGCCGTCGTGTCACACCAACAAGTGCTACATGGCAAAGTCGCCAAGGCCGAGCAAGCCAAGCTCAACAAGCAACAACAGCTCGAGGCCCTCGACACCACCTCAGATAGCGTCAGTGCCAAACTGCTGGGCACGTGGCTGTCGATTTCTCTTCTAGCCCGTCCTAAGATTGCTCTTCATCTTGTCGGTTGATCCGTTTAACATTACAGGGCATCTCTGGTTTCTTCAGTCGTCTGACGGGGCCGAGCACCCCCGAGGCACGTGAGGAATTGCGGACAAAGCTCACCGCAGAGGTGAGTCACTCGCGCTTTTGGACACGTGCACCAACCTGGCCAAGGCACATGTCTCATCGACCCGATGCCAACCCAACCCTAGCTACAAGCCTTGACGACCGAGGCTTCAGAACAGGAACGCTGCAACAAGTATGTCCACGTCGCAGCGCGCAAGACTCTTGCTCAGGCGCCAGACTTGATCCTGACGGCGACCCATCTGCGCGTGTGCGCACCTTGTGTGCCCCCATAGCGAGTTTGTGCAGGCTGCCCTGGGCGAGGTGGATCGATTTCAAAAGTTCAAGCAGCGAGAACTGATTCTCATGTTCCTCTCCTTTGCCAAAGTTCAACAGGTCGGTGGGCGATGTCCATGTCTCCGCAGCAAGGCCGTGCGAAAAGCGGTGGCTCATCCAGCGTGAATTGTGCCATGTCCTGCCACGCGTAGGCTTATGCGCAGGCGCACGTGCGGTTATGGACCAAGGTTCAAACCGTCCTGACAGCCATGCATGCACAATGACGAGGTCGTACCCTGCGTCCGTGCGCACATGATTAGAATCAGCGCCCACGCATCACGATTCAGGACCGGGGCGATGTTGTTTGTTTGTTTGTTTGTTTTCCTTTGCCTGCTTTGGGTCTGGCGTGCAAGTATGTTTGCATGTGTGTATGGAACTGGCAAACTGTGAAAAGGAGGTGCTGTGGGCCCATGATGCGACGGGCCTCATGTGCCCACCGGGAGGTGTATTTGAATAGACAGCTACAAACTTGAGTTTACGTGTTAATTTGACAGAGGCTGGGTGTGGACCCAGGGGTCGTTTCAGTACCAAGGTCGTCGCCTGAGGCGTTGTAGAATACGAAAGAAGAGCACGGGCGCAACACAAGCAAACAAAGGCCTCGGTGATCTTATTGGCGGATGGCAAAGCCCACGTTGGACTCGGTGCTCTCCCAGACATCGCGGCCGGTGACAATGTCGGCGCTGTTGAGCCAGGCTTCAAACTAAGCAGGAAATGCGCAAGTCAGTGGGGTTGAAAAGGGGGGAGTGTAGATGCCCGGCAGGACAAAGGGGCAGGCAGGTGCCCGCTGACAGGGACATACGTCTTTGAAGGCCTTTGAGCCGCAGTGTGTCTGCTTAAGGTCTGATTCAGACACGTAACGCTCGTAAATAAAGGCCTCGTTTGGGTTGGCATTGGTCGTCTGCGCCCCGATCCAGGATTGTGAGAGTTGAACGTTGTGCCCGCCACACTTGCAGTGCAAGGGTGCTGCCGCAAGAACGAGAAAGAGACGAAGGAGGAGGAGCAAGGCTGGATGCAGGTGGGGCGCCTGCCTACCGTCAGCTCGTAGGTGAGCGTGTTGGGCTCGTTCGCTTGCACAAACTTGGCCAGTTCCGCCCAGCGCTTGATGAAGCCAGCTCGGGCGCCTGCACACCCATGGCGATCATCGTGCCCAGTGAGGCAGATCAAGTCACACGAGCCAAGGCCACGCTGCCATTGGCACGGCTTGCCAGCCATGACACGTACCCTCCTTAAACTCGAGACGGATAATCAAAACAAAAACGCCCTTGGGCTGCACCTTGACCGGGCAGCAACCAGCCCCCAACCCCGCCTTGTTGTTACCAACAAGATACCCAACAGCCAACCCCACCGCGGCCGCCGCCGCCGCCGTTGCCGCCACTGATCCCGTCATTGAACATGCCATTCTTGCCAGGTCTTGCATCAAAAAAAATTTAAAAAAAATAAAATAAAAGTCGCAACTTGTGTGTGTGTGTGTGTGTGTGTGTGTGTGTGTGTGTGTGTGTGTGTGTGTGTGTGTGTGTGTGTGTGTGTGTGTGTGTGTGTGTGTGTGTGTGTGTGTGTGTGTGTGTGTGTGTGTGTGTGTGTGTGTGTGTGTGTGTGTGTGTGTGTGTGTGTGTGTGTGTGTGTGTGTGTAACGTCTCTATGCAACAATGGTGGTCGGGCCCTATGGCTCTCACTGACTCCCTATGGCTCCCTATGGGCGCCTCTTCCCCTCTCCCTTCCTCTCTCTCTCTCTGATGCGCCCTCTGACGCGCTCTGACGCGCCCTGGCTCTCCCTCTCCTTTTATGGTTCTCCTTGTGGTTGACTCCCTGGCTTTGACTCCCTGGCTGTGGCTCTCTTGCTGTGGCTCTTTTCCTCTGGCGCGTCCCTCTGGCTCTTTTCCTATGGCTCTCCCTTTGGCACTCTCCCTATCTGACTCTCTCCCTATCTGCCTCTCTTCTCTCCCCTTTTGGCACTCTCCCTCTCCTCTCTGACTCGATCGTCGTATGTTTGAGTGGAGAGGCGGGTGCAAATATCAAGGCTGTTGCCAGGAGAGAGAAAAACAAGAGAGAGAGAGGGGGGTTGGGGCGAAGAGCACGTCAGCGAGCAACGATCAAAGATCATCAAAGCGTGTCGGGTTGATTGATCGATTGGGCAGCAAAAGCGTGTGCATGCCACACGACACCACACCACATGACAACACACACCGGCCAAGGATAAGGCGGAATTTGTTTTTAAAAAAAAGCCGCCTCAGAACCCCGTATCGAACGCAGAAGCGGTGGGCATGAGGGAGACAAAAACCGGCAGACATACAGACCGGCACACACACAGACCGGCACACACACAGACCGGCACACACACACACACACACAGCCCGACAGACAGACGACACAGACAACACCGAGTAAAGTGCTGCAGCACCGCAATCGCAAACTCGGTTGCAAAGCGTTTGTTCCAACTGCCAGAAAAGCAAATGGAAGAAAGGCTTTGCATCCGAGGTTGCGCGCGCACACACACACACACACCCCTCACACACATCCAAAGGCACAAGGACATGGCAAAAAAATAAAAGGGGGGTGTGGCGGCGCGGTGGGTGGGCGGGCGGGCGAAAGAAGAAATGGTCAAGCCCTTGGTTCAAAAAGAAAGGATTGACCATTTCAGCTTTCGGCCGAGCCATTGAAGCGTCGAGTTGAGAGTGGTGTCGTCGCCCGTACGTGAGAATTGGATGATGGCAAAGAAGCCGGTAAAGGTTGGGCGGGAAGCGGAGGTCCTGCTTGAAACGGCTGTGCACGTTGGTCGAGGAGTTGGCGATGCTTTGAGCCCCGGTTGGAGCGAGCGCGAGCACTGCCGCTCACTTTGGACTGTTTGGCACAGGGGCCGGCGTCGCCATCGTCCTCCCCGGGCGCATGAGAGGGGACGCTGCTGCCACCGCCACCGACAGTGACCTTGGATTCGATCTGCACCACATCCTCCACGATGCCATCCTCGGAGCAGATGCCAGGCGGAACAAGAAGAACGACCGGTGCCTGAAACTCCAGGCCGTCATCTCGGCCGCCGCTGTTGGACTTGCTTGGCAGAGGAGCAACATCTGTGACGTTCATCACGCAGAACGATGGGTCCGACATCTCCTCGAGCAGCTCGGGAGAACAGTCTGATCCCGACGCTTGGTCACCCAGGTGTGTCGAACTGCCGTCCGTGTCACGCACAGGAATCTTGCCCATGTTGTTCGATATGGCAGCCGGGAGATCAGACATCGACACCCTATCCGGAGGCAAGGTGGG